ATTACATGTAGACTATTCTACTCAGCCCAAGGATACACAGGACAGCCTGAATCCTTCAGGAACCCAGAAGCAGATAATCCTGGGTAGATCAAAAGCAGTAGGAAAAGTAGCTTGATGACAACTGGAATTCAGCATAAAGAGGGCAGGTGGAAACGAAAGCCCAATGGCAAGAGAAGGACCCTAGCAATGATAAAATGAGGTGATCCACAGTGGGAGTTGACCAGAGAAGGGCCTGAAGCAGTTCCTGAGCCCGAAAGTGGGGGGGGGTCCTCAGAAAGAGCCTAAGGCAGAAGACAGTCTGCAGCTCTGTGACAAAGAGGAGTACCATGCCTCTGAATGCCTGGCACCCTGATACCCAGAACATAGGAACAACCCAGTTTCAGAGCAACCCCAGAATCCCTTTGAAGGCCTAGTTTTATCATACTTTGGGCAAAGCTTGCCCACTTATTTTAGAAGTTCAAAAGTAAAGCCTGACCAAATGAGAGACTAACCCAACCCTCAACACACTGAAGTGCTAACATGAGCAAACTAAGGAAAGTACCAAATATTAAGAGGAGATACCTTTGACTGACTGATGGCCAGGTATGAACTCTAAGTAAGAGAGTGATCTCACAACAAATTCAATTAAAGCTTCGGAGAAAAATATCCTGACTACAATAAATATAATGACTACAAAAGAATCTGGAAGAAATGATCAAGAGATACAAAATGTTAAGAACTAAGGAGAAAAGGAAGAGACGGTGAAAAACCTTCCCCAAGAAATGAACAGCTAGAAAATGAGAATGAGTCAAAAAGAAATCAACTTAGTGATAAAAACAATAAAATTCAATTTTAAAAAAGTAAATTTAAGTAAATGAATTTAAATACATCAAATTAAAAATATTTTTTAAAAGAAATAAAATATTAAAAACTGACCAGAAAAACAGGTCAAGTTGATATAGTCTAAGAATTATTAAACTAATGGAAAATCAGGACCCAAAAAAAAGCCTAAATACCATATTTCAAGATAATAGAAATAAAAACTGTCCAGAACTCTTAGTCAGAGGGCGAAGTGAAAAAAAAAAATAATCCATAGGTCACTTCCAAAAAACTCTATGAATGAAATAAAATGAAAACTCAATGTAGCCAAAATCCCTTCTATGTCAAAGAAAAAATACTATGCAGCATCCCCCCAATTCAAATAACAAGCAGCCATAGTAAGGACCACACATAAAGAGGAAAGCTTAGAATCCTATATTCTAAAAGGCAAAATATAAAGGATTACAATCAAGAATAACTTATCCAACAAAACTAAGAATAATCCTCCAGGAGGAAAAAAAAAATGAGCCTTTAATGAAACAGAGAATTTTAAAGCATTTTTGATGAAAAGGCCAAAACTGAGTAGATATTTTAAAATAGAAACACAGCACCTAAGAGAAACATATAAAGGCACACATATTTGTTTAATTGGAAGAGCATATGTGGAGATTGATTATTTATATGATAATAAGAGTATCAGGATCATATATTTATCTTATAGGAGGAGCTAGTAAAGTGGAACTTAAGATTATTTAAAATGCCCAGGTAAAGGGAGCAAGATGAGAAAGAAAATACAGACAAATGAATGAGGTATGATTAGTTCTGCTATTTTTTGGTAATACAAATTTGTTCCAATATGACTGATACATTAGGAACATTTTGAGCATAATGTGAATTTTGAGTTTTCTTCTGCACCATTTCTTTTTCAAGAAACAGCAAGAGAAAGAAAACTTTACCATTCACAATAACTCACAACCCTTCTGGCACCCATTTCTACAAGCAAACTTTGGGTATCTATCAAAGTAAAGTGCTATATTTATTCAATATCTTCTGGTATAGCTATGAGCAGAGAAAGGCTAGCTGTTCTTTCCACTATAACACTTGGATTCTAGGCACTCCAAGTCCATCAGCTCTCTCTATAGAGATATAGAGTAAGTTTTCTTAAAACCTTATAGTCATCAAGTAATAATTTCTAAAAGGATATTTTAAATGGTATAGTACAGAAGAATATTTGTCCTGTATTAAAAGGTAAGATGATAAAATTGCTTCTGAGTTACATTTATGGTACTCTCAGATGTTTCATACCATTTTCTTTTGGATTCATTGTTAATTATGCTCAAATTTTGAACTGGGAATTATATTTTAAAACTTTAGGATCACTGATATACTTTTTTTAAATAGAAGTTCTTATGTTTATGGTTTTGTTTGGATCTGCACATCTTGTTTTTACACAAAAGCCATTATGAAGAACCGGAATTCTATCTACCAAAAATGGAAAAAAAGAATATACAGGTAAATAAGATTTTTTGAGTCAAGCTGCCTTTGGGTTCTTTTTCATAAGACACCTGAGATATCTATGTCTTTGAACCTTCTAAACACAATCAATAATATTTTGTTATATATGGATTGGCACAATGGCTTAAAAGTTATTTCTTGCTGAATGTCTTCTATTCCATTTTCTGATTCCTCAAAGTCTATGGAGTAATCACTTATTGTATCCAGTTATTTCCTTTAAAAGTTGCTCCAATGAAACCTCTCCCAAAGCAGCATTTGAAGTGAACTTTGAAGGAAAATGGACTTCCAAAAGGCAGACATAAAAAGGAAGTATATTTCAGACATGCAGGACAACTTGAGTGAGAACACAGAGATGGGAGATGGAATGTCGTGTGTGAGGAACAGAAAAAAGGCCAGTTTGGTTGGACTACAGTCAAGTGTATAAGGAAGAATAGCAATAATGACTTTTATTAATGTCTTAGACTTTATCATTCATGTTACACATTCAAAGGCCTTTTCCAAATGAGTATATTTTATAAATCTTACACACATTATTTCTGTATATTTATAGACAGAATCATAGATTCAGAGCCAGTCATCTAGTTTAAATTTACTTTATAGTTTAATAACCACGATAATGATGATTATTGCTAACATTTATAGAGCACTTACTATTACAAAGCACTATGTTAAGTACTTTACAATTATCTCATTTGATCCTGACAACAACTTTGGAAGGCAAGTGTTATTATTAACTCCATTTTACAGATGAGGAATCTGAGGCAAACAAAGGCTAAGTAACTTGCCCCAAAATCACACAGGTTTTAATTGATAAAGTCAGGATTTGAACACAGATTCTGTTACTCAAAGTTCAGCAATCCAGGTTCAGGGCTCTTTCCAGTGCTCTGCCCTATCCATATCAACTTTTTTATTAATAAATGAACAAAATTGATCACCATGGAAAACGTATCATGAGGAAATAAAATGTGAGATTACTAACAGCAATATCTTTTTCTGGAAGGCATCTAACATGGACCATATGGCTTATATAGGTATGGCAAATCAGGAAAGGCAGAGCAGCATAAACATGATTTCCCTGACAAAGAGAAAATTTTAAAAAACAAAACAAAAAGTTGGATAAAAAGACCACAAAGTAGTAGATAGGGATGATACAGCATGGCCCTGAGGACTATGCAACCATTACTGTAATTCACAAATTTTTAACCTACTAGTGTCTGTGAAATTGTTGTTTTTTTAAAAAAAATTAATAACTACACCAATATACCTAGGTTTCTTTGTAACAATACAGATTTTATTTTACACATTTAAAAACATTAGTCTGAGAAAGGATCCATAGGCTTCAGACATAAATTTATGTCTATGCCTAGTGTCTGCCATACTCTTTCCCAGTTTTCCCAGCAGTTTTTTTCAAAGAGTAGGTTCTTATCCCAGAAGCTGGGGTCTTTGGGTTTACCAAATAATAGATTACTATAGTCACTGACTACTGTGTCTTGCATATTTAACCTGTTCCACTGATCCACCTCCCTATTTCTTAGCCAGTACCAAGCAGTTTTGATGACTGCTGCTTTATAATACCATTTAAGATCTGGAATTGCTAGGCCACCTTCCCCTGCATTTCCTTTCATTAGTTCCTTTGATATTCGGGAGCTTTTGTTTTTTCCAAATGAATCTTGTTATTATTTTTTCTAACTCCATAAAATAATTTCTTGGTAGTTTGATTGGTATGGCACTGAATAAGTAAATTAGCTTAGGTAGGATTGTCATTTTTATTATATTAGCTTGGCCTACCCATGAGCAACTGATGTTTTTCCAGTTATTTAGATCTGAGTTTATTTGTGTGAAAAGTGTTTTGTAACTGTGTTCATAGAGTTCCTGGGTTTGTTTCGGGAGGTAGACTCCTAAATATTTTATAAAGACATAAATTTAAAAACAAGTTTTAATGATGAAGTTTGGGCCCAAAGAGGACAAATGTGAATGTACCTCCCTCCCTCTGTCAGAGGCAGGAGACCTTGGTATAGAGTTCTGCATGTTACTTCAGATTGGTTAATCTGTTACTTAATTATGCCAGGTAGATCTTTCTTCCTCTTTTAAATTCCTTCTTTATAAGAGATGGAATTCTGGGGGCAGGGAGAAGGGAGGGATATGTTGGGAAATTTAAGTAATATAAAAATAAGAGATATTAATAATTTTGGTTCAATGAGAACATCAGATATTGAGAATCCTTTCAGTAAAATATCACTGTGCATTCTTTAAGGCAATAAAAGTTAAAAAGTCCTTTCCTTTTCAAACATGTTTCGTTAATGATAAAGGCTAAGGAAAAAATTAAGATTGTAGCTGCTATACATCCACAGTAGATCATCTGCCAAATGCCACTGAAAAGACTGCTACGAGTAAAGGAGGGCTAACCAGGAAATTTGTGTAAAATTAGTTGTTTTGTTTGAATTAATGATCATTGTTTTGATTCAATTCTTGGCTGTTCTTTTGACAACACAGGCCTTACTCTGGATTATTTACTGATGCTGAGAACAGCTGAGATAAGTTTATATGAAATCTTGACTATCCTAATCAACCCTTTTCAATTAGTCTTGTGACCTCTTGTCTCAATTTTATCAGCTTTTATATCTTAGAAACAAATAACTTAAGGGTCTACAGCAGTGCCTAAAAAAACCAAAAGGTGTGGTACTTACCACATCAGAGTTGATATTAAAAGGCCAACACCCACACAGTCTATAAATACAACCCAAAGGAGAAGCTTCATGGTTTCAAAAAATCCCATATCCAGGACAAATCCAAATCCTATAGTGGACACTGAAAGGAAGATTAAAAATACATGAATTAAACTCTTTGATCCCTGATCTACAGTCAGTCAGAGCATCCGCAGTTAGAGATGCTCTAAGGCAACAAATCAGTATTTCAAGTAAATTCAACATTAATTCACCTTACAGAAAAGCCTTCAATGTCAATTATGTCATTGTCAACTTTATGCTAGAATTACAATTAAATAGCTGGACAAGGTTCCCTTTTATTTAAATTTACATTAGTGATTTCAAAATTTTAATTCCTGCTTCACTTAGCTGTATTGAATTCCTAATCTTAATATTTTTCATAGTAAAATACTACTTAAGGTTTACTGTGCTTAGGACTTCACAGCAAAGGTCAGATTCAATTGTTCCCTGTCCAATAAACTTTAATGTGAATGTTTTTACTCAGATGAAACCATTATCTGATCTTATTTAATTTGAGAGAATGTAGCTTTTCCTGTGGCAAGATCTTTTGACAACTCCAGAAAAGCTTATTTTTTAAAGTATTCCCAAATCCCAGTTCACAATTCACCTTCAGATCTTCCCTATTAAAGGGCACAATCTTCCTGATCAATCTTCTGAGCTGAAACATTTGACTTGTTATCAAGACACTTACCACAGAGCCAGATACTCAGCAACACCAAGAATGCAGGATCATCTCGTGCCCACTGATCCTTTGTTTGTTTTCGGTAATGGAAGTTTCTGTAAACTCTTTGTGGGGAAGTGAAAAGATAGAGCATCTGCCAGGCGGCAAACTCAAAGTCCATCTGCCTGAATCGGAAGAGCCTCCGAAGATACTTGTAGCGTTTTGCTCCAGCAGTGTGCCTTGCTGCATCCCTGGAATTCAAGGCACCATTCCCCTGTAATCGGGAATTCACTGACGTGGTTGGTAACATCTTTCTGGAGTAAAAAAATAAAAATAATCTGTCTTATAGAAAGCAGTGTGATACTAAGTGATAACCAAACTTTTTTGTTAGAAGTATGCCTTCTTCCAGTAATTATACCTAAGAATGAAAGAGGTAAAAGACCCTTTAAATTGCTACCTAAACATTCTAGGTAGGGTCAGCGATGGACATTCATAGAAGAGTCTTGACATTCTGTTTGGCCCTTGTGCTGGAGCCCCCATTAATTAATACCAATGACTAGTGAGTCTGGGTTACAGTAGCCCTTAAAAATATTCATAGCACTATATCTATACTGTCATTAGTACTCTGAGAATCACTGCATCAGGCCCTTTATTTGGGGAGAAAACATTCACACATATGAGTACTACATATATGCCAATTTAGTCCACTAACACCAAATGTTTTCTCAGACCAGCTACAACAAATTTATGTGCCTTCTGCCTTTGTTAGTGCTACTTCTTCCTCCTTTTAGAATCATAGTTAAGTTGTCAAGTTATTTTTCTTAAGCAAATTTCACAAGGTCTCTTACTTTTTAAAAAGCCATTTCCTTCTGTTTCTAGCTGTTGACAATTACTTCACAATAATAAAGCTGGAGGAAAAAAGAGAAGAAAACTTGTAAGCAGTAGCCAAGTAAGGAACTCAATATACCTGAGGTAAGGACAGCAACACAACCAATTAAGAATGTAAAATCACTTCCAGTACATTGGCAATATGTAAAAACATGCAGGTTTAATGAACAAACTCCACCACCTAAGATTGAACTTCTAAATAAACCCTCTACATTTGTTAAATCAAGGTCAGATGAGCAATGAAGTTTCACATAAGGAAAGCAAATGGCCTTGCCACAGACAACCACACTGTCATTACTGTAGGAGGTACAAAATCTCAATCCTAACTCCAACCAACTAGACCAAAAGGAAGAATGATAACACTGCAGTTTATTCAAAATCTTTCATTCTCACTACATTATAATGTCCTTTCAATGAGTTTTAGTTTCATAAAAAGAAAAAATGATTACATAGTTATCCAGGAAACCAGTATTGGAGTCAACAGTAATCCCCACTGTGCTCCTTAGAATACTGTATCATGACTGCCCAAATAACTACAACCATGTTTGATCAACATCAGTCTCCAGACAGGTTAAGTATATTAGGATGTGTTTGCTAACAAATAAACTTGAAAGTGTTTTTTTTTAAATCTTTGTATCCCCAGTACCTGGGGCTGTGCCTCCTACATAGTGCTTAATATATATTTGTTGAATAATTCAATGAATCTGAGTACATATATTAAAATCCAATAAACATGTATTAAACACTTGTTACGTGAAGAGTACTTTAGGCACTTACGGAGGTGACAGTTGAATACAGGAAAATAACTATCACAAAATAATACATAATGCCTTAGACGGATAAGCAAAGTGTGCCAGGGATTCTCACTCTTAATTTATATACACCTATATTACATTTAGCGCCAGAAGAGACGAGAATACAGGTTCACTCACCACTTTCCAATAGTTATCAGATGTGTGACTATAAGCAAGTCAACTCAAAATTTCTCCTAATCTATAAAATAAGAAGCATAATTCCTTTAGTACTTACTTCACAGGATGGATGTGAAGTTCAAATGAGAGAAGTAAAGCCCTTTGTAAGATGCATTTTATAAATAACAGAATTGGTAAATATTTATGGAGATCACCCCTACCCTAGACTCTGTAGGTCCCAATTAAGTCACTTAGGAAGGTGACTGTCTTATCTGATTCTTACATCTAAAGCCATAACTAGGAACTCAAGGCAAACTCAGTTGAGGTAGCCGGGTAGACAGTTGTGGCCAAGGCAGAACCATCTGGGTTCAAAGTAGAAATGCACCTCTGTCTGGCTGGTGACAGAGGTAATGAGAGTTGAAGATAAAAGAACTGAAAAACCAGGGTTATGGGAATGTGTAAAGATGGGAGGGGAATGGTTGGATGGAGAAAAAGACAGACTCTTGAACTTAGCTTATTCAAGAAGAAAGAAGACTGATGTGGACAGACTTGCTCAAGCTTTAAAGGAAGAAATTTAACTGCTGAGTGCCAGTGGGTGAGTGTCTGAAAGCTGCAGTGATTATGTCAACTCTTTGTGGTCCTGTATAAACAGCATCTAACCTTGGAGAGGGTGGCAAGAGCTGTAGTGTCTTCAAAAGAAGGCTAGGTGTTGGTGAAGACTACGAGATGAAAGGTATTTGAAAGGAAAAGAATAGAGGATCGTTGGCTCATTAATTTGTAATTGGAATGGACCTTGAAGGCCTCGTCTTATAGACGGGAAACTGAAGTCCAGAGAGATAGAGTGACAGAAACAGGATTCCAAGTCAGGTCCACTAATAAATGCAGCGACAACATGACACAACCGGGGAAGGTTCTCAGTTGCAAAGGAGGGAAGGGACGAAGGCAGAGGAGGAGCCAGCTAACAAGGCATCCCCTTCGTGGCCCTAGCGTCCCCCCGATTCCGCACCAATCCATCTCACCCCGCACTCTGCCCGGCTCCTTGGCTAGGTGGCAAGCGGGAGACGAGGGTAAGGGCTGGTCAGCCCCCGAGAGGAGCAGTAATCGCACACAACCTGCCCCCTCCCGCCCAGGTAGGTGCACCTGAGGCCCGAGCGGGCGGCGGCCGGGCGTGGGCGTGGCCGGGCCCGAGCCCCGGGCGGACCCCAGGCCCCGACCCCCCTCCCTCGTCTGCAGGCCGCCTGACGCGCCTGAGGACCCCAGTCACTGCCCGATTAGCAATGACACCTTCCGAGCCTCCCTCGGGGTCGCCGGACCCTCCCCCTCCCTCCCGCCGGCCCCGAGGAATCTCGGGGAGGGGGCGCTGCAGGCGCGGGGGCTCCTTGTGACGTCGCGAGACGCGAAGCCAAAGGAAGCCGGGAGAAAAGGAGCTCCAACTTCGCGGCGCGTGCGCGGGGCGCGCCCGACGGAGGAGGGGCAGGGGCGGGGGATGGGGAAGCCCTCGGTACTCACCTGGAGCCCGGCTGGGGCCTCGGCCCGGATCCGTTACCCCCCCCGCCACCTCTGTTCAGTAGCCGAGCCAGGCGCCCGCCCCGGCTCCGGTTCCCCTTCCTTCCTGCTACGTAGTTGGTCTTCGTCACTCCGAGAGCCAGGCAAATCACGTGCTTCTCCCACTTCCGTTGAGCTTCCTGCCGGAGGGCTTTCGGAGTCTTGGGTTCCGGTGGCTGCGACTCCGCCGCCGGAAGGAGCTTATCCCTACTTCCTGCCTCTTCCTCCCCAACGCCCTCCTCCGCCCCCTCCGCCATCACGGGTGCTGGTGTCCAGAAGGTTGCTCCTGCCGGAAGTGGAGGCAGTCCACGGCGGGTGGGGGCGGTGTCGAAAACTCCGCACGCGGTGTTTGTTGAAGGCTCCGGGCTTGGCTCTGGGGGTGGCTCTTGGTCCTCTGAGTTGGAGGCTGCCTCGGCGGCGGCGGCAAGGGGGAGGTGATGCCCCGTTACTATGAGGACAAGCCGAAGGATTACGGCGCATGCGCCGGGTTGAAGGAGGATCTGGGGGCGTGCCTACTGCAGTCGGACTGTGTGCTCAAGGTAGCCCCAACCAACCGACGACCGTGGGGGAGGGGGTGTCGGGCCCCTCCAAGACTAGCTGCGCAGCACCATACCCCAACCCTCCTAGGGAAAGGCCCAGGCTCTCTGCCAGTTAGCGAAGCTTCTCCCTGGGCTCCTTGGGCTGGCCATGCCGCAGCCCCATCTTTGTGTCTCGGTGTTTGGGTGAGCTGGCCTGGCATGATCGACCAGCAATTAAAGTCTTAGAATATAGTCATAGAATAAGAGGTTTAGAGCTGCAAAGCACCTTAAAGATGATCCACCCCAAAGGCCTCCTTACAGAGCCAGAAACAGCTTGGAGAGACACAGTGACTTGTCCAAGTGCAGGCAGAAGCATGATTTGAACCCAGGTCTTGTGACTACAAATCAAAGACTTTTTACACGTTGCCGCAGGTCTTGGCAGCAGATGCTCATTCCCAGATCTTAGTACCCTCCCTTAATGATACCACTATTCAGCAAACATTAAGTATTGGCATCGTATTCGGAACCAGGTAAAAGATGGATAATTCTCAGTGTAGTGGGGAATATTTTAAGATTCATTTAGTGTAGATGCATCTGCTGACACAGCTCAGTTTTTCTATACCTTCTTTAGTAAATGGTTTCAGTTGTGAACATGAAGTTTGATCACATAATAGCTAAATTTCTGGCGATAAGCGTTTCAACACTTAGCTAGGGTGGTCATTGTTTTCCCCTATGGACCGGGTTCTTTCTTGAACTAATATCACCTTCTACAGCTTGTACTCTGCTGGCACATACTTTGCAAATCCAGGGCCACTTAATGAAGCATTGGAGGTGGACTTTAGCTGAAGACTCAGCTCTAATATAAAGATGTAGATAAATATATGCATACGTATACATACATGTGTGTATGTATATATACACACATGCACTTTGTGTGTGTATGTATAAAATGCATAAGAGTTGTTAGCATAATGCCATGTGAGATCTATGGGGGTGAAAGATCATGTTCCCTTGGGAGAATCAGGGAAGGTTTACAGGCTGAAAATGTTAAGTGGAATAGAGATCATGACCTCGATGTATAGGTTGCAAACCACAGTATCCTGTCTAGAGAACAGTCAGAATTTACTGAAGGGGAAATCTTGCTCTCTGCAGTGATCATGCAGAGCAGGTGGAACTTTGGTTAACTTCTTCCCAGTATATTAAAGTACCATTTCTATTGAAATAAAAGACAGAAACCTCACATAAAATATTCAGTAGCACATCTTAAGTACTGCTTGGTTTCAAAGCATCTGATACTAACTAGTTGAACCTGAAAAGTGATACTGGACATGATTAAAAGACCAAATAGTATATGTCTCCATTTTTTATCAGAACTCACATTTTGGATAGAGACAAGTTAGAGCAGGAAGGAACGTAAGCAATTATCTAGTCCATTTGACTGATGAGGAAATACTAGAGACTCACAGAAGTGAATCGATTTATTCAAGGTCACACAGCTATTATGTAGGACACCCAGGACCTGAACTTAGGTCTAGTTGTACCCATGTCTAGTCATTTTTCTGCTATACTGTACGAGCTTCCATTCAACAGACTAAAAAAGTGCAGTGCATTGTACTAGATTGGAGGAGGTACATTTAGACTGATGCCCTCTAGCTTACTAACAGATAATAAGAAATACATACAAAATAACTGTAACGTAATCCATTATAATTACATAAAGTTCAACTAGTATTCCATGAGTTTAGATGAAGGAGATGACACTGGGGGGGTTCCAACTTTTTTGCTCCCTCCCTTCCCTCGACCTTCCCCAAGACAGCAAGCAATGTAATATAGGTTACGTATGGATAGTCATGTTAAACATATTTCCACATTAGTTATGTTGTGAAAGAAGAATCAGAACAAAAGGGGAAAACCATGAGAAAGAAAAAACAAATGAAAATAGTATACTTTGATCTGCATTCAGACTTCATAGTTCTTTCTCTTGGTGTGAATAGCATATTCCATCATGAGTCTTTTGGAGTTGTCTGCGATCATTGCATTGCTGAGAAGAGCTAAGTCTATCATAGTTGATCATTGCATAATGTTATTGTTACTGTATACAGTGATCCCCCGGTTCTGCTCACTTCACTCAGCGTCGGTTCATATAAGTCCATGTTTTTTCTGAAATCCGCCTGCTCATCATTTCTTATGGCACAATAGAACTCCATTATGTTTTGTGTTTAGTATTTTTGCGTGCCTTTTAGATTTCATAGCAAAATTTGAAAGGAATTCTTATCAGAGTTAAAATGAGCATGAAAAACATACATTACAGTAATTAAGCATCATCAAGTAGAGGCTGATTTTGCAAACTTAATTTGTACTCGAGACTTCAACAAACAAAACTGTTCCAGAAAGCAGTATGCAGTACTGTCTTCTATGTTTAAGATGTCTTAAATAACTATACCTTTGTCCTACAAATTGAGAATTTGTATATTAAACATAACTTTATCCCATGAATTCATATATACTATTCCTTGTACACATCATTTGTTCACCAGTTTTATTTAAGCACCTGCTTTATAAAGAGTACTGTGTTAGGCACTAGGAGATGTATAAAGTTAGATAAGTTTAGGTAAGCTTGATGCACGTATATACTACTTTGTGATATTTTTAAAAAATTTTTTTACATGTATCTTATGTTTCACCATCTAATAATGACAAGAATTATAAAGGGCTTGTGTTTATAAAGCCAACTTTACTCACATTTGTGATATAGGTAATGCAAGTGTATTGCAGCCAGGTCCCTATTCGTGACAATAATGAATGGTCACATATATTTGAATTAACACTATTTGAAGCTATAATTATGAAAAATATGGTAATTCATTTTAGCCCAATGGAAATAGGCTATAAAATGTATTATTCCTGGTTGGTTTTTTTGGGGGGGAGGGGCTAGGCAGTGGGGTTAAGTGACTTGCCCAAGGTCACATAGCTAGTAAGTGTCTGAGGCCAGATTTGAACCCAGGTCCTCCTAACTCCAGGGCTGGTGCTCTATCTACTGTTCCACCTAGCTGCCCAGTATTATTCCTGATTTGCAGGTGATGAAATAGACTCAGGGAGGCAAATTGATTTACCTAGTCACACAGCTACTTAGTGTCAGAATTGGTATTTGAACACCCTATGTCCATTGTTCTTTTCTGTACCTGAATAGATATTCTCTTCATGATATCATTAAGTAATTCTGTGAAAACACAATACTAGGGGAAATGATATTACACAGGGCAGTTCTATAATATGAGTCATTGAGACTTCCAGCCAAAGTGGCTGCCTAAGTAAAAGCAGACACTTGAACTCCCACATACTGCCTCCAGGAAAAACCTAAAAATAGCTCAGACTGAATAATTCAATGAAAACAATAGGTGACTTCTGTCATGTCAAAACTGCACAAAAAGTTAGAATCCTACAAATAGGGCCTACTATATAAAACAGTGCTCATGCCCAGGCATGCAAGCCAGAAGTGTCACTGAAAATTACAATTGGACCAGAGATACTTGTAACATTCAGGTATCTATATTCAGAGGCAGTTAAGAGTAGAGTTCCTCCAGAAGGCCCCAGGGTGGCCAGAAATTTCATTGTGTAGACAGTTGTAGTTGTTCAGACTGTGACACCCCAAGCTCCAACATCCCTATTACTGTTATAAGACACCAAAGAGTACTTTGAAAGTTAAGTGCTCTGGATCTTAAATATCCAGGCATAATATCCAAAAATACTGCAAGTTGTAGACCCTAATCCTGGCAGAAAGCCCCAATTCAAGAAGTAAGGCTGGAGAGATGAGGAAACCAAAGAAGACACCACTATGAAGAATTGTTGTATTGGAAAAACATATCTAAAAATCTGTATCAAAAGGAGAGAATAATTCCACAAAAAAAAATACAAGTAGACCCCAAAAGGGAAAGTGGATTGTCTACAATGACTACATGATACCTAGAAGAAATGAAGCAAGAGATAAAAACAACAAATCTTCTGGAGGGGTGAGAATGGTAATAAAATCTGGAGAAAGCGTGGCCAGGAAAGGAATGAAACAGTTTATTCTTCTATTTCTTTCCTCCAGAGCTTTTGTACTTTCCCCCACCCACCCACCCTCTGCTTTTCAGCTCCATTTTATTTGTTTTCTTTTTCTACTAGAATGTCCTTAAGGACAGGAAATAAGGGCATTCTCTATCCCTACCACCTTGCACAGTCCCTGGCACATATTAAGCCTTTACTAAATGCTTGTTGGCTGCTTTTTGCCAAATCTGTTAGAACCAGATTGCAGAGTGAAACTAGAAGGAATCCATCAGTTATTTACTGAAAGAAACCCCAGAGATAACCTAACCAAAATCCAGATCTTCTTAGTCAAAAGGTAAGCAACCAGAAAGAAAGAATTCAAGACCAAGCAAACAAAGGATGACACAAGACTTGGCAGAATTCTTCTAAAAACAGGAGATCTTGGAATACAGTATTCTAAAAGGCAGAAGAAATGAGTCAACATCCAAGAATAACTCAGAAAAACTGAGTATAATTCTACAGGAGAAAAATAATGGATCTGCAGTTGACTAGCAAACTAGCAAGTATTTCTGTTGAGAAGACTGCAGCTGAGTTAGAATTCTGAATTACAAACAAGTCTCAGGAAATTTGAAAAGGTAAATTCATTTGAGGACTTGGAAGAAACAGAACCTGAATGTCTTCAAAATGTATTGAGGGAATTAAATAAGAAAAACTGGAATATTTGGAGAGGGTAGATTTGTTCTGAGGATTGTAAGAAAGGAAAAGGGAGAATAAAGAATATACTAATGTAGGAAGAAGGAAGAGAGGTGTAAAACTTCTGATAATTGGGTCCATGAAAAGAAAGGTATACAGGCATCAAAGAGAGAGTGAGAGGAGCAGGCATTAGATGATAATTTATGTCTGAGATAAATAGGGAATAGTTGAGTATGCTCTTGTGCCTACGTATGTGTGAAGCAAAGACAAGTTTGATGTGGAAGTACATGGAACTCCACAGG